TCAACTTGTTCATTAGACGACCTTAATTAAGAAACGAGTTCAAACGCTAGTTTCAAAAGGAAATTCAAATCAACTCGTTTACTTAACTAACAACCTTGAATAGAGGCAAGCCAAATAGCTACAAGGCAATTGATATGAAAAAAATGTATTGACCTACAACACAACCGTGCTTCTTCGAGAACTTTACCCCCCATATATTCCCATCAAGTGAAAGAAAAACATAACCAAACTGAACATCACTAGATACACAGTCACAATACACATGACTTACCAGCTTGCTAATTAACCATAAAATAAATAAACAAGAATGTTAAAAGTCCACAACACATTAAATGTTTCACGGATATGGGGAGAGAGGAACGGTAAATCTTTGATATTATTGAGTCTCGAACCTTTTAAGAGATGAGAGTGTTTCTTAATTAACATCAAGCAATAGTCGTTAAGATCAAGCAGCAGAGTAACATCAAGCAATTTCTTAATTTCATTATGGTGGAAAAATCTTCTATTAAGGTAGAGTTTTGAAGAGATCTTTATTTGAGGTGGAACTACGAAGATATGGTCTCATCACGTGTTGATTACGATTTAGGAGGTTGAAAATTCACAGACTTGATTTTTGTCTATTGCCAAAGTTGAACTAGTTTAGTGGGACTGAACCGGTTCAAGTGTGGTGTCAACTTTTGCCTATGCCAAAGTTTAACCAGTTCAGATGAGTGCTGAACCAGTTCTGAAGTTGCAGGAACAATTTCCTAATCAGTTTTGGAAGCCAAAAGACTTGGGAAAAGGCTGAAGATTTGGGAAAAAAGTTATACCTGCTATTTTAGAGTTGAAGATGGATATGGTAACTCCTTGTAGGCAAGTTAGGGAATACTTGTCCAACAAACTAGAAATTGAATTTTTTTGAAGACTCTATAAATAGAGATTGGGTATGAGAGGTTTAGAGAGAGAAAAAATATGTAAGGAGTACACTTAAGGATAAGTGTTGTTAGGAGAGAAGAGAATATATGTAATTTTTAAGTGAGTGAGTGGGATTTTAACATGTGGTTGAATATTCTGTTTATTGATTCATAATAGTGAAATCTCTCTCTTTCTCGCATAGATGAGTTGTGTGAATCGTGTAAAATATTGTGTTGTACGTAAATGCATATGATTGTTATTTCTATATATACTTGTATTGATGTGATATGATGATGTTTATGCTGTATGTGATAAATGAGAGATTTAACTCTCAACAACAGTCTACCGTTGAATAAGTTGAAAGGAGTATATGATTATACTCCAAGAATCGTTCCCATCAATAAAACTTGTTGCATCCCTGCATTTTCAGCCTGCTAAATTAATTTACAATCTCATCAACAAAACAATTGTACAAGAGATTGATTAATTTTAATTGCTAAGATAATTTTTGTAATAAAAGGGACAGAAAAGCAAATTGTGGGAGTCGCCACAGCGAGGACAAGAACAATTCCTGAGACTTTTTTTTTCAGACAACGAACAGTAAGTTGACTCAGAATTGATACGAAGAAGATAAATCGTGTGTTTATTTAAAACAAAGCATTGCGATGGTAATAAAAGACAATTAAATAGATAATGTGAGAATGGACCCCACCATTTACTTTGTGAATAGATCCAATTGAACAATATCAACTCAATCTATGCATTTAAAGAAAAATCTCCAGCTGCAGTAGGTTGACAAATAATGGTCGTACTACTTCTGGCCGGTTACAGCGGTTAGTGGTTAGCGGGTCACTGGTAGTTGCAGTCTTGTTATCCCATTGTGATTTAGACTGATTGATTGCCAGACTTTAACCATATTGGTTCAAACTTCAACCAATTCACGCTTGGGATAAAAAAAATATGCAGTGTGTGTGTGTATATATATATATATATATGTAACCATCAATTTAAATAGAGAGATCATTCATATTCACACTCTGGTTACAATTGGATTTCATTTATTTTCTTTTAAATAAAATAACATAATTATTACAAAATGATAGACTGGAGGGACCAGTTCATTAGATGGCCTGAAATGGAGCCCATGGGACAAGGATCTTTTGAGTTAAAAATTCTTTACATTATTTTAAGTTAAAGTAATAGGACGTAGACACATAACATTTTTAGTATATCTAGAACTTATATTATTTTATATTATAAAATTGAAAAAACTTCAAAAATGGTGTTGTTTTAGAAGTACAAAAAACACACCATTTACTAAGGGCATCTCCAACTTATTCTCTCTCCACACGTATGAAAACTCCCATTATAATTGTAGAGAGAAGGTTTTCATATTTTTTTTGGACTGAAAACTCTATCCCCTAGATCGGCCTTATCACCTTGAGTTTCTGTTTTGTAATTGTGTAATTCCTCAAGGTGCTCGATCTCTATCTCAAGTTATGGAGTGAAAAACCATATGCAATTATATTCACCAAATAAAAACACACAACCTTATATGCACATTTTTATATATTTTTTTCGAAGCAAGAACTTTATCAACAAAATTCTTATAGAGAATTAAAATACAGACCTTCTCAAAATTTTGTAGAAAAAAAAAGAGAGAACAATATAACTTTAAAAAAGCAAAGCAAAATCTTAAAATTCAAGACAAATTTGATAACTTGTAATAAAGGCTTATAAGTAAGGTTGTTGTAATCAAAATCGGGTTCTAAAATTATATATGTCACAGAAATGAAGAGAGGAAATCCATAGGGGAGCCTCTCCAAATTGATTTGAAGAGGATTGAAAGAACATTGAGGGAGAAAGTGTTGGCGACGTCGGTTTTAGTGGATGGCGTCTATTCATGTGTTCCTAAAATGACATCACTTTTATAGTTTTATTTAATAAACCGATGTGGCATGACATAAACGGTTGATTTATATAAAATTTCACATGTCCATATTTTAGTAATTCAACTTAGGATAATGTAGAAAGTTTTTAACTTAGAGAATTCTAATCCTTCTGACTTTGACTGTAGATTTGGTGCATTTGCACCACTCTATATAACTATAAAATTCACCACTTAATTCGATTTCACACCTTATTAAAATGAAAACCCATGGTTTCCTCAAATAACATTATATGAGATTATTGAATAAGTCTTGGAAAGCAATAATAATGGTCTAAAGAAAACGGGGAAAAAATTACATATATAATAGTGATTTTTGTTACTTTGATTTCGAGTCTGAATGTTTCTTGTAGAAGTAGGTCCTCTTCATGCATCCTGAACTTTGACTTTTGTGCACCACCCATCACAATAAAGCCTATAATTGGTTCAAAAAGTGTTTTGAAATTCAGGAAACTGGAAATGATGTAACTAATAAATAAGTACATTTCTCAACGAATTTGGATTTGAAACTCTTTACATGTTATATTGCATCGGATAGAGTCCAAGAATTTCCAAGAATTTTACGTTCTCCGTTTTAATTTAATTGTTTATTTTTATTTAAAGGTGTTTTAAAATATTATTTAAAAAGTTCAAAAAACATATTTTGCATTTTTTTATAAAATACTTTTAAAATGTTGTGAATGATTCTGGTACATGATAACTAGCTCCCTTTTTTTTTTATTATTCATTTGGTAAATTGTGACTATTAAATTATATAATACGATGTGTGTATATAAAAATCAACAATATATGCTTAGATATATATCTAATCACGTTGAGATATAAATTTAAATACACTTATCGGGTACTTTTGCTTTCACCCATGAATGACGAAACAATATAAAATAAAATAAGCAAAGCACAAACTGATCCAAAATACCAAATCAATGATGTTAAGTGGAACTCTGACAAGCCGACAATTTAGGGAGCACCAGACATGTGTCGTCAAAATACTTAAATATACAATATTTATATCTATAATTAAAGGAACACGAATCGATCTACTATACCCTGTTGTGTCTGCAAAAAGGAGATTAAGCATAAAACAATTCTAAAAGCAACTTTAATTAATTGCCACAAGTTCAGCCATTGACCTTGTTGCGATGCTTCCCCATAAATTTCTTTGCTTTTCTTCATGAAAATTGCCTTTCATCAACCCATACCACTCGTAGTATATAATTACAAATGTATATATATATTATATACACGTGTGTACGCGTGCAAGTGTGCGTATATTATATAAAGTAGTTTCGTGGAAAGTTCTCTCATGATTTTATTCGTCCACAACCATCATTTACTTCCAGGCAACAAATGATGTATAATAGTAGGGCCATTTATATATCATGGACTATGTGAAATCCTCTCATTATTCACCAACGACTTTGCCATATTTTTCTATACTCATCATCATGGTGTCTTTACCGAAAAAATGAAAAGAAAAACAGAATAACGTGTTTGATTTCACGCCCAACAATCTGCACCGTTCATTAATTGGAGTGGACATAAGATCTGCTATTTGGACGGTCAAGAATTATATATGAATGAGTGCCATTGAATTCAAGGCCCAAGTTCAATAATGAGCCTGTGAGAAAAGTAGGGACATCACGTGGAGTGTGACCCACATGTCACCCAAAAGTTGGGCCATCTCACGTGTCCATCACCTTCTTTACTTGTATTGTATTCTCTTTTCAACTGAAAATTTTCCATTCCTTTCTTTCTCTACACGCCTCTCACAACCCCCAAGTCCCCCAGCCCAACACATTTACATTACATACATGCACAATAACAACCTCCAACTGATTTATCAATTATCATTATCCTTCAACTGATTTATCAATTATCATTATCTTTGTGAGCTTGAAATAGAAAGAGTCACAGCTTGAAGTAGAAAGATCGAGCCACCCTTGTCCAAACATGAACTTCCCAATTTGCTACGCAACCATTATTCCAAAGGAAAGAGAAAATAATTTCAAGAACTAAATTAAACATTAAGAAACAGATGTTAATTAAGACTTAATTAAAAGAGAACATTAACTCATAGTAATCACTTCATATATATATATATATATATATCTATATATATTAATTATATTATTGTCTAATGATTTACAAACATATGTAGTAAGAGGAGAAGATTGATGATTAACTTCTATTTTTCTATAATTAACACTAAGATCATTCATTAGATGCACTTAGCCAAAAAAAAAAAAAAAGGTTGGGACTTGGGACTGTATGGAAAAGTTTAGTTCTATTTGGCTGGCAAATTATACTAATTAAACAACTAATTAATTAAATTAACAAGCTGCGGATGGATTGGTGAAGGGACTGTAGAAGTGAGAAGGGTCTGGAGCCATTGTGAATGGGCTCTTGGAGGTATTGTTGGCGGCGCTGCCGATCCGCTCGCACGACGGGCACATGGTGAGGGTGGCTGCCGGCAGTTGCATGTAGAAGGGTTGGGCCAATTTCAGTGCCTTCAGTTCTTGGACCTCCTTCTGTAGTCTTCTGTTCTCATCCGTTAATGTTTCACAGCATTTCTTCAAGAACTCGCAGTCCATTTCTGTTTGCTTAAGCTTTGTCCTACAAATATTTAATTAACAACAACTCATTCAAATTCACATATATATGGATGGTAAATAAATAAAATAAAATAAAATAAACCAAAATTAAAAAGATTGGTGCATCTATGCCCAGAATATATAATCTTAATTAAGAAAATTAAACTTTCCCATATATCCCAAAAATAAATAATTAAATATATATTTAGCCCAAAGTATAGTATGTACAGAGCATTAAGGTAAATGTTTGAATTTTGTCCCTTGGGTTGAAAATGTCATACCACACACACTCACACACACACACACACACACACATATATGCATACATGTATGGATTAGAAGATAATTAACCTGGCTCTCCGATTCTGGAACCAAACTTCTACTTGTCGAGGCCTTAGCTTCAACTCCCTTGCTAAATCTTGTTTTTGTTTCTGTAAATTCAAGACAACAAATTAAATAAAGTGCGTGTAATATATATGTATATATATATAAAGAATCCATATGGCAGATCACGTGTACGGAATAAAGGCAAAGATGACTATGATGATAATAATATATATATATAGAGAGAGAGAGAGGGGGGGGGGGGGGGGGGGGGGGATTGGGCTTACTGGACTGAGGGTGCTGTGCTGTTTGAAGCTTTCCTCTAAAAGGGCAGATTGAACTTTGGTGAGTCTAAGTTTTTTCCTTGGATTCAGACCATCATCTTCTTCATCACTCACCCTTGAAGAAACCCTCTCTATCTCAACCTCTTGATCATTTCCAACCTCTCTCTCCCTCTTCACACTAGCATTAGAGAAGGAGGAAGCACCACTATCTTGACGATATAATTCATGAACTGCTGCACACTCGTTGCTCATCACATGATCAATCTTCTTACCTACTTGATCATAAGTATTGGCCGAAAGACCTAACGTTAGCGACGGCTCGAAACTCCTCATCTCCTTCCCCATGTTGTCCGACGCCTTCTTCGGTCTCTGATCGTCCGATGAGACTGTAAACCCTAATCCTAACCCAAGGCCTGTATTACAAATATCATCAAAACCCATCTATCTTAATTTGATGTATTGTTATATATGGTTGAGATATATTTGGTGTGGTATATAGGAATGAAGAATATGAGTCTGTTAAAAGGGATGTATATATTGAGTGAGAGAGAGGAAATTAAATGAAGAATGAAGAAGAGAATGATAGAAGAAGACTTTTGTTGTTGATGTTGTGAGGGTTGGGTGGGTGGGTGGCTATCTATCATTAATAATCAAAGGAATGAATGAGTAGAGGAACGAATATGGTGTGGAGAGAGAATTATGAAAAGTCTCTCTATCTCTCTCTACATGGGTTGACCATTTGAACCCCACTACTGTTATCTCCATTATAATAACAAACAAACAAGGAAACTACCTCTCTTTCTCTCTCTATCTAGCTTTTTTTTTTTTTTTCCTCTCTCTCTCTATCTAGAATAATATATCATCAATGAATAGGATGAAAGAGTACGTGGATTCACATGGTAATGCGAAACACATCAAGAGAATGATTCGTCCGCCTCTCTCGCCACCCATTAACGTACCAAATTTATTTTTTTATCAGTATATGTATCTTTTCCACTTTCTCATGATTCTTTGGCTATTTTGGTTTTACTTTACATGTATACATGTATCAATTATTTGTCACCTTTGCTCTTTTTTTTTTTTAGCTTTGTAAATTAGATATGTATGACACTTTTTTCTTTTTTCTTTTTCCCCTCTTTTTAACTCTTTTTTGCTTTTTTTGATCTTAAATATATAGCTTATGTTGTATATCCATGTACGCAATCAAAAGTTAAAATAATTGTTTTCTAAAAAATAAATGATCAGAGGGAGTATAGTTTGATCAATAGATTCAATACTCACATGCAATCTTGTCCATTTTATGGAAGACCACATGAATTGTCTCCCACTCCACACTTGATTTAATTTGTTAGATATGGGTTCATGTTGCTTTGCTTACCAATCTTGCCATCTTTAATTAATGTGGGGGTGGTGGTTAGTAAGTACTTTATATATATATATATATACACACATATTGTGATTGTGGGGGAAGATGAGTTCGATCGATTGAGATGTGCACTATCTAGAAATCGTATGATGATTGGTTAATTTCTTGCAGTCTAGATTGTTTGTTTCGTGAGAAAAATTAAAGGACATAAAGAAAATAAAGGAAAGTTGGTAGAAGGCACCATTAGAGTTTCAAAAGAGTTATAATGGTGGTAGAATTTGATTCATCAACAAGAATCTAGATATAATCTTTCTCTTAAGTAGAGAGTTGATGCCGAGTGTTTGGGACCTATTAAACACATTCAATAATGCATTGTTGGTGACACTAATGAAGAGTTAGGTCACAGGTAAATCGTGATAATTAAATCAATTGAGTCATGATAAAGAAGGCAAGCAACAACATGAGGCTTTATTAGTGGTTAAGAGAAAATTATGGTTATTGGAAATTTGGAACTATTATTCCTCATATGGTATGTCTGCAGATGGTCCCAAAACCATTGGACAAGTTATCTATCAGAAAGGTGGGGTGCACCCGACTTCCACAAGCTATAGTGGTACGTCGCAATTATATAATCTTGTTATTTTTAAGTTGTTCAAGTTTGAAAATTACAGAAAAAAGTTGTACGTATATGATTCTTTAATTATTCCAAAAGAATTCAAATGGGTTTCACACCTATTAACTAGTATTCCAATATTATATTTGTTAGGCCATGTGTGTGTTTTTACTTTCTATATAGTCAGCAGGTAGGCAAACTAATACTATTAAATTAAATTTATTTTATTTTATTTCCATCCTTATTCATTAATATATACGGCTCTATGTGCGCGTGATGGTGCACGTGTAAAAGAAATATTTCATGCAGGGATAGATTCAGATATTTAAGTGAGGGGATAATATTAATTTTTTTTATAATAATTTTAAGTGAGACAAAGGTACTATTTTGCAATTATATATATCAAAATGACCAAAATAGTGGGGCAAAATAATAATAACAAAAAATTCAGAGGGGCAATTGCCCCTGGTATGCTATGGGTCCGTCCCTGATTTAATGGACCCTTAATCTTAACATATAAATGGTCCTAATCGTGTTTATTAACATCTAATCTAAAAATTTAAATTATTAAATAAATTAATATTTAAATTCTTCAATATTATGTTTATTGGAGATTAATTTGGCCCTAGTAGCTAGTTCAAAATATGCACTATGTCTTTTTCAATATTGAGTTGTTTCATTCTAAGATTAATACAGTGATACCCAACAATTTCCGCTAACCCATAATTAGTTATTACACTATTATACTTGTCTTGTACATTATATATATATATATATATGTGTGTGTGTGTGTGTTATCAATAAGACCATAACACTTGTCCTTGAGTGGCTGCGTACCAAAAAGCAAGTAAGTAGATAGGCATTGACTTTGACACAGTTAAGAATTCACCAATTATGTAAACAAATCATATGTGGTGCCCTCCTAACTTCCACCTCTCAGTAGGATGATTGGAAATTATTATATACAGAATCCATTAAACTAATCAAATCTTCTTTCTTAAAATTAAATCTCATCCATTCAACAAAAGAAGTGAAATTAAAGAAAGAATTAATCAAACTAGGTAGCTCAGATGTCATCACACAGACACAAACTCTCTCAATTATTTACACATGTATAAATACACACACGCACCCATCAGTATATCTAATAGGACTGGTGGACACGTGTTATGTGTAGAGGTCTAGAGAGAGAGAGAGAGTAGAGTATGGACAAGAAGGGGCCCACCAATGATTTGGTGTGATCGCAATTGATTTTGTCTGATGATTATAGAGCGTAGAAGTTGGCAAATGATGGAGAGCAGAATCTTATTATAGGGATAAGGTTTTCAGTTCCTGCCTTTACGGCCAGCCGACCATTTTGGTTTTATTATAGTTGTTGTTCGAGCATTATTTGTTTGTTTTGTGCCCTTTTCATATATATATATATATAATATATATAATATATATTATGTAGTACTCTGTGTGTTTTTGTTTACTTGGCCTTTTGGCTCTTTTAGTAACCACCATTCTAATCAGGGAAACCAAACACATTTGTCTACGTTGTCCACTTTTCAACACTAGACAACGTGCGACTTGTCAAACACCTAAGTCCATGATTGGAGGGTACTTGCCACGCACACTGAAGATGTTTGGGAGAGACAGTCTTCTTACTATATGAAACTAATATTTATATCCCAACTACTTATGCTACTATGTTAAACTGTTGAACTAGAAAAAATCCATGCTATCAAATTTTGCCAATACCAAATAGAGCAATTCAAAAAAAAAAATCATACGTCACGTACGTGACTTATTTGTTCTACGGTTAAATTCTAAATTATTAAAAAATAATAATAATAAGACTAAAAAATATTAATAATATATTATTATATAAAAAAGAATTTTTTTTCTTCATTTGATCCATTTTTATTTTCTTCATTTGATCCACTTTTTCATAAATATAATCACTACTTTGGAACATAGAGTTGGATGCTTGTTTTTTAATTTTTTTTTATTTTTAATTTATATAGTTTTTCTAATTAAACTTTAATGTATTCTAAAATTGGATTTGAATGCATTTATCTAAAAAAACGTAATTATAAAACTACCTTGCCGTATCTTGAAAGTATTCTAAACTTAATTAAATTATGTTGTGTCCTAGTCATAATGTAATAATTGACCAAATAAGTAGATTTGAGTTTGATTTAATCATGTTCGATTGGATTGTAACTGATATGCATTTGTGTCATATTCAGACACGCAACTCATATATATATATATATATATATATATAAAATCTAATTTGACCAATGTCGTGCTCGTGGTAGAAATGATCGGTTCAACTCTTTGGTCATTTATTTTAAATAGCTTATGACGGTCGTGTTGGTTTTACATGTTTTATAACAACACCTTATTTGTGTTAAGATTCTTTAACATGTCGTGTTGTGTTTATATCGACTTATATTATAAGACGCCCATGTCATGACACCATACAAATAAGTCGTGTAAAATCAGAAAAATGTATATAAAATTACATGAAGTGTCCAAGCTTCTTAGCTGTTGAGCCACGGAAGTAAAATTATAATCCCAACATGTTATTTGTTTATTTATTTATTTTGAAGTATGACTATTATATGAGTTTAATTTGAAAATGAAGGAATATTTTGTGATATCAAGTTTTAAAAAATGGAGAAATTCTGGTATATATTCTTCCAATAAAAGTGAGTTTAGATGAATTTTCTTGAAGTACTTGAGATATTTAAATGGAACTAGCTTACAATCACCATACTGAAATTTCTAGATTTGATGGAAGCTTTGATGTTTGTGGAAATATTTATAGTAATCTACGTATTTCTTTTTCAAGTATAGGATTCTGGCACGAATATTCAATTTGATATTTCAACATTTAAATAAGTAAAAGTTGAAAGGAAAAATCCAGAATCATATAAAGCACTAATGCAAGCTTCTTAATTGTGTTATAAATCACTCAAAGAAGAAAAGAAAAAAAGAGTAGATAGAAAGAGAAAAAGAAAAGTAGTTCCTAGATAGCTCAGGAGAGACGTCACAGTGATTGGCAGCCAACACACTACTATTTTTGTTTATAATTTTGAAAACAACAGCTTTTGATAGGATTTTAAGTATATTATTCATATTATATACATAGTGTATTTATCTAGGCACATAAATTACATAATAACACTAGATACATTCACCTACAACATTATTGTATAACACTAACCGATCACCTTTCTATCCTATATTGAGAACCTTGTATATATACTATAGCATCCAGTTCCAAGTCAACTCAATATAGCTAGGATTCTCATTACTTTCAAGTTTTAACCACATCCAAACAAATTAAAATATATATCATAATATGTATAATATATATATTACAAGTTCATGCTGAGCTAGAAAATAAGATTTCAAAATTTTAATCTTAGGTGTGAATTTACCATTAAGTTTTTATTTATGCAAAATTAAGTACTCATATCAGTTTTCAAAGGACAATAACAAGGAATTTAAAAGTCGGACAACTTCAATTGATTTATGTGAGTAAAGATTGACATCATGAAAACATCAATCTAATAAAATTAGTTAGATTGTCCGACTGTCGGTTTCCTTATCACTATTCGTTTTTTAAAATATGGCAATTAATATCTTTACTCCACTTTTCTCTAATTTTTTAAAAATTAAATGGACATAATTACCCTTCAAAAACATATCCAGACTTTCCAATTATTAAATAGTATTATAACAATCCTTTTAAAGGATGCTTTTATCATTTCAATCATTAAAAATTCACTTGTAGTTCAAGTGGTGAAAATGTCATTTTCCTTTTACACATTCTAATCAAGCACTATAATTTAA